CATTTTGATGAAGAATGAAGGTTGAAAGCGGTGTCAAAGTGGAAATAAAGAATTCAAGAAGACTAAGGATGTAAGGTTATTGAGTAGGTGCACGAGTGCTACTCTCAGAAGTTCAACTGCTGAACGAAGGATTGAAGGATCACGAAATACAGAGACAGAGAGAGTGATACAATGGGCGTGGGTAAGACCAGGAAACATATGCAGCCGTGGAATCATCATCCTCATCGCCGTATTATATATATAGCGAAAAAGAGTTAAGTGAACTTCGCTGACCATTGTCAAGCTTACAACGTATGCAAAGTAAGTGAGAATGAGTAAAATGAACAGGGTATGGATCCGCATCGGGAGAGTGAAACAAAATAATGAACTGTTACGGTCAACACAAACTGCTTCAAGCAGTCACCACAGTCAACTACATTTTGTAGTCCCCAAACCAACCAGGTCCTCATCGTTTTGGATCTCAACCACGAAGAGAAGAAATTCGCTCTTTCTCAAGTTACTATTTAGTTATTTATACTATTTCCGGCTCGAAGATCTAATACGATAATTTATGTAATTCTATGAACCTAGCGGACAGACCTCTGTCTCGTATCGGACGATTGAGCTTTTGGCAGAGATCATCTCTTCGGCAGATTGTTCTCCCGTTCAGTGCCTGGACTCGTGGCTATGTTCACCTAATCATAAGACCGTTGCTCGATAGAAAAATAACTTGGGCACAATGCCTTTGGGTGCAGTGAACGACTCGGTTTGGTGTAAACCAACCAACCGAGAGGCGAATAAACCGATTCACGGCGGTTTTCGGCGCCCAGGGGACTGCCGTTTCCTGGAACCGTTTTGTTATCCTTCAGGTGAGACCACTTGGCTAAAGGATGGAGTCTCCAATTAACTCCGTCTTTCGACCGGAGTAACCGAGTAGTATCTCAAAATTCATGAACCAGGACCTGAATAAAGGTATTGTGCGTCTTATCTTGCTTCACGAATTACCTACTTGCGATCACATCAATTGATTTATCCACCCACGTGGGTTCACCACACTTTCTGTGAATCTCATTGGTCAAACGGTAAGCCCGCTGTGTAATACAACCCGCGAATAGCAATGGTATATTCCTCCAGTACCAGCAGCCTTTCAGGATCGCTACTCATGATGTACGAAAGATTATGCCCGTTAGTCAACGATTCTGACTGACTAGGACGCCAATAGACATTAAACATTGACGTCTATTGTATAAGTGAAATTCGTAATCAGAAATCAGGAAATTTTGTCCGGCTTACAACTACCGGAACCGGTCAGGTTATCTTTCACCTCTCAGAATACCCTGAAACAGGTATAATACTCAGCACAAGAACAGATGGGAACTCTACAAGACTGGATCCCAATGAATAGGTAAGTCTTAGAGGTTTGTGCCATGTAAGAAGGCACTGCTCTTCTGGTCGATACGAATCATGATCTCTTCACCGTTGTCTGCGCCGCAGTGTACGAGTCTGGTGGGGCAACCGAACGAGCAATGTTGAGGTTGAGCGCAGAGTTTTGGGTAACCGCAGTCGTCCATTGGAACAAGTGGTCGATCTCCATAGAGTACAACGGTTGGGACATCTTTTTATTACGCACCTAAGTGTGATGAACATAAGACGACGTAGACCATTCACAAGGACCCGCTGCTCAGTCACGAAAACCGGTAACCTAAGACCTCGAACTTGAAGTGGCGAATGACATAAGGCCCCGCTTGGTTAGGCGTCGTACTGAACCGGACGGCATGTATTGCGCACGTCACAATATAGGTTGACAAAGAGAGCAATGTTTACCGAGACGGGCAGCGGATGAAAAGTTCAAAGGCGGTAAAAGTAAGACCTGGCATAAGGATATGAGAACCATTACCAAGACATTGGGTCACAAAGGTACCATTAGGCTCCCTGGATGGAGACCCTGAGATCATAGTAACCGGTGGTTAGAAACACTGAATGATATAGCTGGGTGCTGCAGACAGTGGCGCTTGTGCATCTACTCATTATCTTTGCAACCTCATTCCACGTTAATTCTGTTTCTTCTTCACTCCTGCTCGAGACCTTCCGTTCTTCCGTCAGCTCTTTTATCTAAATGGTTAATCGAAAGACAGCAACCGAAACCAGCGCATAAAACTGCATGGTCAATGATTGCAAAAGCTGGAAACTGAACTGAACTAGTGTAACCTCCGTATTGAGACCTACCATACATAAGTTTGGGGTAAGGAAAGCCTTGCGCTTCAACGGATGATCGAAAAAGAAACATCATGGGCATCGGCAGTTGTCTCCACAAGAGATGCTATCCACATCAGAGTTCCTCATCAGTCAAACTTTCACTTCCTCGAATGACATCATACACCATTGATCACATCCAAAAAGCACTCTGCGAAGCGGATCTCGAGAACTGTGAGCTCATCCAACATGCCATTCCTTGGATCTCCCGTACATCAGTTTATTATGCATCAACTAATTAACGGTCTGAACGAAAAGAGAGACTTAATAGTCACAGGACACTTTTGAGATGGAAATCGCTTGTTCTATCGGAAAAGTGAGGGAATTACCAAGACTAATTCAAAGAGGCTAATGTAAGCCTTGCGTTGGTGAGTCAAGTGGTAGTGGTGGTGGTGGCGCAGTGGTTTATTCGCTATCACCAGGGCGCTTTGGACCATATGGTCCAAGATTCGAGCCCAGCCACCACCACCACTACCACGCCCAACTTAGTGGGGCCTTGTAAGGTTCGCCACTCCAAGTCTCGGGGCTTAAGTTACTGGTTTCTGTGATGGAACAGCAGGTCTTCCTAACTGTGGGGTTTATCCCGTCTGCTGTCAATCACACAAGTGGCCTAATGAAAAAAACCTTGTGACACTTATGACAAGCTCCACAAGACTCCTGATGCGTTGGGCTGAATATTGCTCTTCACAATTTAACTCGCCTGTTGCGCTATATCTGTCACCCCGTACTCATAGTGGCCAGTACCCCGTGACCCTTGATCCCGCAACCGAACTTTAACTCTGTAAGAAAATTCCGGTGACCAGGTACCACAGGACACCCTGACCACAAAATATATCGCAGACGAACTATTACTGCGTCTCTAGACGTCCGTGCAGCGCTATGGGCTCGGGAGAGCAACATGTCCGATAAGTGAACATTTTAAAATTCCAGCGGTTTTCGGCAAGGCTGTTACATCTAGCCGTTCCTCTTTGGTTGCGTCATTAACGATACATTGAACCCGTCTCGGTCAGGTTTGTTGACTGTGACGTTGAACTTGATCTCGGTGATAAACCATCTGACCAAGACAATGCTGGTGAGATTGCCGTACTTGGCAACAACGCAAAGGCAGTTCGACCGGCTTTGAACCGGTTAGCATACGAGGCAAACAGCTATGGGACATACCTTTCATCCAACCAGAGTAAGGTACTAGCTGAAGATTCGTAGGAAGATGGGTCTGAGCTTTCCCTCATTGGGGAACACTTCGACGTTCTTGATACGTTAATCTACCCTGGAAGGTGTCTTACTTGCCAGTAGTGTTCAAAACGATATCACTCTTCGGATAACCAAAGTTCGAATAACCTCTACCAATCTGAAGCATGCTGTACGTCGTAGCATATCAATGGTTCTCAAAATTAGCGTGTATCATACTGCTATTTTACGGTTGCGAATCCCGGTCGCTTCGCTTTATATACATTCAACGACTGTTTGCCTTCGATCATCGCTGCCTGTTGAACATTGCCGACATGATATGATATTCTCACCGAAATAGTAAGGCCGCCGATATCCGACGGGCCAGCCAGTCACGCAATCGTTGATTTTATATCACTAAACAGGCTTAAATGGATGTGCCATGGCCTGTGAATACCAAGAAGCAACCCGTTTGTTATTTTCATGGGCCCGGATGGAAGATGCATAACAGGGAGCCCATGGAGTGATTGCACGGAATGAAAAACTAATTCTCGTCTAGTCTCGTACCAGTAGCTCCTAATCTCTGGAATGATGGTCAAAATGTAAAGTTCATTGGAGACAGTGAGGAACATGACATAAAGCAGCAAAGATTAACATCTTTCTTCTCCCTATCACAGACTTAGCGTCTATATACAAACACACAAAAATCATAAAAAGCCGATAAACGGAAAGGCCACCGTTTTGTCTCAACACAGTTACCAGCCCTTACTGCCTTCAGAAAAGGTTTCCATTCCAATTTATTTGAGTTCAGAAATTGTCTAGCAATTTAGTCGATGCGTACCCACAACACTCCAATCACAAATAAGGTAAGGGGGAAAAGCACAATAAGCAACCAATGTGGAACAAGCCAAATGGCAACACGCTGTATATGATGGAGGTAAATCTCGAAATTTAAAGTCACAAACGAGCAGTTTTGAACAGACCTTCAGTAAACACTAAATGTCAGACAATGCGATCCTAAAACAAGATTTGTGGCATTCAAATGCATTCGAAATGCCGAGGGATCCTAGAATGCATCACCATGAAAAGACTGGCAGGACTGTCGCGATCTGGGCTCTATTTTCCACTGACAGGCGCAGTAAGTGATTCACAGGAAAGTAACTATATTAACACTCTAAGGGTCGATGAACAATATTGGAGGCAGTCTGAAATGTGTGACATCATCGTACTTATTGTCTTCTCACAAATACATTTTTAATCCACTTTCCATAATGAACAGTTCCTTACCATTTTCCCATCACGCTGTGCTAGTTTCGTTTAATAATGAATGAACCCTATCCCTAGGCGTTTACCGTCTGTCACATCTGAAGTTGCTGAATCATACTTTAGTAATCAAAGTTCACTACAATGTGATACCTACTTTGCTCCTCATATCAATCCATGATATTGAATTCATCGCTATCCGACTGATAATTCGATTATGAATGTGTGCAAAACAGAGGTAGCGATACCACTAGTTTTTTTTTCTTTTCCCTCAATCAGTTGATGTACCCAATCCCATGGCATAAAGCCCAGATGCAGTGACGACGATTGATGTGGGATTAGTGATCGGTATCTGAGGCCAATGGGGGATAGCACTCACTGTTCAACTCGGTGATTTCCCTAACAGAGGTGTGATAGGCGGTAAGCAGTTCTTGTTTCATCCAATTCTCTTCACGCAGTGTGTTAGCCAATCGTTCTCGTTCTTCACTTGCCAGTTGCAAATACGTCTCAAGCATCAACTGGTCCCGATGTGAATGCATCATTCCGTCGTCACCAATTCCCGACGCGGATTCCGAATCAGACACATGAACATCACGAGATGGGAATGATAGCTGCGATCGCATTTTATCTCCATGACTTCCAGAATGTTTGCCGTGATGAACGACAGTGTCGGACGAGCGGTTCAGTTGTTGTTGGTGTTGTTGTTGCTGCTGTTGGTGATTGTGATTCGCCTGACGAGCACGAGCCCCCGACAAAGTACGCAGCTGTTCATCTTGCCGTCTAGATGCCACTCGAAGTGTATAAACCTCCGATTCGAGTCGATGTCGCCGTTGACAACAGGGCGCTTCGATCACACGTTCAGGTTCGGAATCCGGTAAGCCCAGAAGGTCAGACGAGACCCTGAAGTACACCGAGATCAGAATGAAGAGGAAACATTTTTTATGGTAATATGAGCCAATAATACTTCAGTAGTATTACACACCATAAGACAGAAATCAAGTGACGCTCAAACGTTAAAAATTGTGAGCTAATAGTGAAAATGGCCATTCCTTTCAAACCATAACTGTCCGATTGTAACTAAAAACATGTGATTGGAATACGTGGAAGATACACAGAAGACAAAAATACAGCGAACAAGCTTTTTTCATCTTCGGTCAGTTACAGCATGGTCGTCAAAGTGACGCCCCCTCTTTTCTCAGTGGTCTATTGGCTTTCTTGGACCAACCGTAAACCGGTTTCAAACTGGTTAGAATTGGTTCTGGGTCCCAGCTAAAACCGACCCAGAACCAGTTCCAACCTGGTATACGGCCGTTGGTTAGCGTGGCTACGAAACGTCCGCGAACAACATTTCCAGCTCGGAGAACACCCCACCAACAACGGCTTTAAGGTCATGGTTTGGTTCGTCCCATAGGTTACGGCAGGGTCAAAGCAACTGGAGTGTGGCGACCATTCTCTTCTGTCTGCATAATGGTGGGTTTAGGATTTTGATCCCTACTACATCTGCTGTTGTTAGGTGACGTTACCGAAAGCTTTTCGATTTGCTTTGCATCACTCTGTAGATATTTTAAATGCATTCTGGTGTATCAGGTACCCAGTATCAGCGAGGTGGATCACAATTGACCTGGTTATTGTTTTCTTCCCGGTTTATGGTCGCTGATCCCTTCCGAAAACAGTCTCACGGTTTGTCCTACGTAATTAGCCGAACATGTGCAACAACTATAGGACAGTATCAGAGACATCCCATGCACCGTCCCATAGATCTATCGTGAAACCAATCGAGGCTCAACAAAGTGATGAAATACATCATCACACCCTGGCCACAAACGAAACCCTCCGGTGATCTAACTCAATTCTTCAGACGTCACCATCCTCTCCCCATCGTCCATGTATGTATCATGTGGTCCGACAGCGTGATTATCTCTTCACTTCGACATCCTGCGATCCATCTAATCCACTTCGGATATCCCAGTATGCCCGAACTGAAAGTACTAGGGGGAGTCCATGCGTAATGGTCCGCAATGGACAGTGACATGCAGCAGACCGACGGACAGTTTTCGATGTCAAGAAACCGCCAAGTTGCCACCTCGATACCCACCGACTCCCAGGCCGACAACAAACAGCATGGATTCGCATCCATATTGACCACGCCCGAAAAACCAACTGACCTTATTGTGTTATCATCCTCCATACTTTCTCCAACTGGACGGAGGCAGTTGTCCTAAAAACTACCAGCTTATCAGCCACTATCACAGTATTCCAGTGAATACTTACAATTCCCACAGAATGGGTATTAGAAAACGGATCGCAGTTTACTACAGCACTATTCCGCGACTTCTGTGAATTTTGGCACACCCACCAACGGTACTCATCGCGGTATCATCCATAATTCAACGGCTAAGTGGAGAGGTTCGTGGACGCATTCAAGTGTGAACTTCAGAAGCCACATGAAGGAAACTAGCAACGAAATTCTCAGCGAATCTCCACTAATGTACCGAACGACTCCGAATCGATCAATGCTCAGATGAGTCTCACCTCCGAACTACTTAAGGGCTCGAAGTTGAGAACCGTCCAAACCTTGAGGATTGCGACGGCCATGTGTTAATTAATCGTCAGCCCCAGAAGGTGCCTTCGAAAAAGCTCTTGTGTCTAGGCACATGATTATCGTGATCATCTCACCTAGGTGGGAGCCACTATACTCCCACGTGGAATCAGACTATATAATGTGAATATCAGAGGTGAGTCTTGGACTAGGCACCAAAACACAATCTGCCTCAGACCTCAACCAAACGCCAGACACCATTGAACATCCGTTGTGCTTCCACTGGATGTCTTGATTGAAACATCTATCCTACCGCCACCAAAGCCGATCAAATAGCTGGACCCCAAAAAGAGGTAAGACGCCGGATGGACCGAATGCGACACTCTAAACGTCCCCTCCAGGTGAACTTCTGAGAAAATTTTCAGTTTCAGTATCAGCTTGTACAACCAGTAATCACGCACTGTCGAGCACCGGTTTTCGTTGCTGTCTTTTGGATGCCTATTTGTATACAGGAGAAGGGGAAAGATAGAGAGGGTGAAAGTAAAGTCGAAGAGAAAATGAAAAAGCTCAGTAGTAGTAGCTTGCAAAGAAATTGAGACGAGCGCCACTGTTAACCAAACTGAGTCATATCACTCACTGTTTCTGATCATAGATTACAATCATCTCGAGGTTTCCATACAGGGAGGCTAACGCGACCTATACGACCGAGTCTCCTGACTGGGGTTTTCATACCCCCATTGCTATGTCTTAGTTTGGTCACCCTTGGTTTCAGGGCAGTCTTCTTTCCCGCTCCTCATTTCCAACGGACTCTACTACCTTTAACTGTAAATCCATGTTCAGGTACAGTCGCATCGTGATGGTGAAGGCTACTAGTGCTTGTGATGTGCGTTCTGTGTAGTGATCGTGTTTCGGGGACCAGACAACTTCCGTGGCCATTGAGGTACGTGTTCCGTAGTGTTCAGACCCACCTCGTACCTGTGCATGTCCATCCGCACTGTGGTATCGTGCACGTTGTTTGTGAGCACCTAATTTGCGCTCCCGTTTATCGTTATAATGAGTATCACTTGTATTGTGTTATCGTGTGTTTCGGTAACTTGTGTTGGATGCTTAGTGTGTACCGCGTTGCTACTTCGCCTAGTGTTATTGTGTTATGTGCTTCGTGAGTGACATTGTGCCAGAACAAGTAGCACTGATTTGAGTCTATCGCTGAGAACGAAGAGGTTTACACATAAGCCTTTGCCGCTTTTGTGTGAGAAGTTAGTACTTGATAGGAACAATCCGTGGTTTGCGTAAAGCTGAAGAAGACGATCTCCGTTGTCCGATAGGTTGGATGGGATTGCATGTGGATCGCCTGGGTATCTTTCTGATTCATCAAGGGATCTAATTTAAGGATTGGAGTCGTCAGCAACAACTAAGAAATCTATATACATTTAGTGAATAAACGTGCAACAAATAATGTCAGAACGAAAATGCGTTGATTGAACGGCATGGGAGTAGTGAGAAATGGTTGCGAAAGAGGTGAAAACAAAATATTGTTAATCCGTGGTTTAGAAGACTAAGACATCTCTTGAGCGAACAAGTGCGAATATTACAGATAGATCAATGCAGAAGTTTTCCTTTCTGACGAACTGCAATCAGTCGATGCATATACGGACACAAAGAATAAGCAGCGACACTTTGTTCCGTCGTTGACCTGCATTGAATCACTTGATGTAAGCCTGATCCCAACAGCACCACGATTGCTACACAGCAATCGCCGTATTCACGGATGACTTTGAGTCTGAAGAATTCAGGGCGACGATTGAAGTTGGATTTTATAAGCGTGTTGTGGAGACAGCATACGATACCAAAACAGTTTTTCCGAGGTCCTATCTAAGGTAGCATGTCAACCGACCTGAAAGAATGTGCGGAGATTGAATGCGGTATTTAGGTTTTATGAATTGATTGGATTCTCATTTGCTTAACGCACTAGTAAAACTGCGTGATAAACCCTGAAGGGTGGAAAACAAAGGCATTCCGTAAGTTAGTGCTTGAGATACGCTTCGCAGTAGTCCACACCAACTAAGGAGTCTTCTTTAAGGATCCTTGATAGTCTTCGACTCGAAGCGTATGTTCAAAGCAGAGACTTGACCCAAGTACCCCAACGGAGGCTTTTACAAACCAATCAAGTGAAAACTGTTGGATCTCGCTATCTTTTATTTTCTGGAGCGTTGGTTATCAGTCTGACGTTTGGAGTTGACTCTGGGCCCGATGCACCTCATGAGACAAGCAAAACACGAACAAAACAGCACTTTACTATCTGAGGGCTGCTCAGTTCGATGGGCGGTAGCGATCCAGTGAAGTGTGAAGACTTCTCGCAACTTCGAGGGGAAGTCCCAGGTCTCCTCCATTGACGTCCATTTAGCAAAGAGTTTCCCTTATCACACAAATTTTTGTGAACAGCAGACGGAAAACCCATATTCACAAGGACTCGTTGTTTAGTCACGGGAATCTTGGGGTGGCGAAGCCATCTTCTATACTTCTCGAGGTCTTGGAGGTACGCAGCCCATTGCATCACGTCAAGGTGCGGTTTCGTCGTGAGTAAACTGTTATGTAAAATGAATCGTGAAACACACCGATTCCTAATCGCTCTGTGATCCCACAACTCTTTAGTAACGTGTCCAATATTCTCGTCTTTCGGTAGCAAACAAAACTGCAACATAAGTGAATTTACCAGATTTTACCAATTACGAACTAACAACACGCGTTAGATTGGCAAATTCTGTTAAGTTAGCATGCCACTTCACGAAGTGAAATTCTTTTGCGATTGTGTATTTCACACTTATCTCGAATCGGATGGTGTTTCAAACAGACTACGGTGGAAACATCTTTGAGGAAAGGAATTTGTGACATGATTTATTCTTGGATGTAATTTGGCCAGGCTGTGCAGACTAAAGCTGACTTCCTTCGGGATTTACAAATGGAACCACCAGCTAATCAGAAATAGACTTCAAGGACAGTCGGTATGGTATCAATCGGGTCTAACGTCTTTGAATCGCAACGCACATGTCCGGGGTGTTTAATACACCCTGTTGCCTAACTGATCTTCGCGAAAAGCATGTTTCGAAACGAGTTCTTAGTTCAGGTTTTACAACTCCTTTAGATCAACTAGTTGCTTATGGTTCGTTGATACGTTTGTGGCCCGGATATTGGTTTACCATCACTCACTTTAATTCAGCAGGAAGTACACTCCGTGCGTTTATTTCCTGTGAGAATGAGATTTCATCCGCCTTTGAATGCAGTGGAGTTTATTAGGCCAAACAATTTCACCTTATCTTAAAAACCTAGTATCTACACAACATTCATGTACATACAATGTGTG